TGGTTCGAAGGAAAACTAGTGCCTTTCTCCCCGGACGTAATAAATCTATTCTACTAGTTGGCCCCTTATACGCTATGTTTTTATTCAAACTATAGTCCGACTGAGGAGGAGTTGGATAGGATCATATCATCTTTGACCGGTGGAAGAGGGTTGTGGAAGATCACCACTGAAAGAAAATTTAACCTCCTCGCATCAAAGTTAGGTGCCACATTGAAGGCTTGGCACTACTTTATTTATGATCGTCTACTACCAACCAACCACCTTAGTGGAGTTAATCCAGACAGAGCTACCTTGATCTATTACATTCAATAGTTCAATCCCATTGACATTGGAGCTCTAATTTATGAGACTATCATTAATTCTGTTGTCGTTGCTACTACTGCAGGTTTGGGATTCACATCCTTGACCTTTTCATTATGTGAGCAGGCAGGTGTTAGATTCGATAGTTGGGAAGAGATATTGGAGCCTTTAAAGCCCATTATAAGTGTTAATGTGAAGTCTTATTCACATCACTCAATCTTCGGCTAGAGAGGTGAATGTTCTAGTAGTTCAGGTGCCTCAACTTCTCATGCTTCTACCTCACATGCTTCAACATCACAAGGTCAGACTTCTAGATCTGATTTGCAGTCAAGTTTATTGCAAAGGATGTTAGATAACATCAATTATACTGTGGATAACGTATTAAATTTAGAAAATTTTGTAGATCATATGAATGGATATATGAGAAGGCATAGTGATTATGAGGAGATATTCCACTCATCTTTTGAAAACCTTATGAGAGGTGACCAAACTGTAGTTTTCCCTTCATATCCACGATATCCATCTTATGAGCCAACTACCTTTTGGGATAGCAATGATAGTGATGCTGATGAGGAGGAGGAGGATTAAACTAAGTACTGTAGTTTAGTTTTTTTATTATTATTGTTATGAACTTTATGTTATACAGTTATATTGTACTATTTATTCTTTTTTGTGCTGAACTTGTTGAGACTGCTACTTTTGTTTGTGTTTTATTTTGTTAGACACTGTTGTGATGTATTTATGTTATGGTGAGTAGTTATATTTTATTTTTTTGATAGTAATTGTGTTAGTTGTATTGTCTAGTGTATTTAGTTAGTTTGTGTTGAACTTAATCCTGAATCTTAGGAAAGTTTAGAATGTTACTTTCACTTAAAAACTTCATGTTTAAAATTTTTAATTTACTACCAGTTATTTTCTTTATGTTGCAGTTGTAAATTTCTGTTAGTGTGTTTGTTTGCTTTTATGTTATCCTCCGCTGCATAGAAGTCTAATGAATCTCTATATGTTAAAGTTAAATTAGAATTTGATCAATTTTACTCCTATTTTTAATTTTTGTACATGTATATTTAGGATGTAAAAATTCATGTAAGCATGTTATTTTTAGTTTTCATTCATGCCCATATAAATATGATGCTAAAATTTTTTATCTTATTAAAATTTAAGTTTGGGGGGGGAATGAAAAAATTTCTAAAACTTGAAGTTTATTTGTTCTCAAATGTACTACAAATAAATTTGATTTTGATTTGAAAAAAAATGATTATGTATATGAAATTGTATTAGAGAAGTAAATTTTTAAATATAGAAATGAGTATAGAACTTAGTTGAAACCTATAATAATGAAGAAAAAATTAAAGTTAAATTTTTTTAGTGTAGAAATGATAAATATAGTGTAACTATCTTTAGTAGGAGAAATTATATTTTTGAAAAAATTAGAAGAGTTTGACTTTTATTTTCAATACTTAAATTTCTTTTATTAAAAATAATTTTCAAAACTATTATTATATTTTTAAGTAAAAGATTTATATCAAAACATTGCTTTAGGAAAGGAGGAGTGGAATTCAAAATCATTAAAGGTCTATCTAGATATAGTAATCCTTACTTGAAAAAAAAGAGAGAGAGAAAAAGAGAAAAAGTTTAACAAGGGAGGAGAAGCTTGAGGATTAGTGTCTAATAAAAAATTTGCTTCACATCTAATCTTTTTAAAGTATAAGACTTGAGAAACTCTTAAACTTAAGGATATAATATAGTATGTATAATTATTCTTAATAAAAATTTTTAAGTGGAGCAGATAGAATGCCTAAAGTATATATTTGGAAAATTTACAATATTTCTGAACTACATAGAAACTCATATTTTCAAACTTCTTTACATTAAAAATTTCTAAAATCTAAGTTGGTCTCATGTACTAAAGTTTTTTTCTAAATTGGACTACTATATTTCCACATCAAAATTTTAGAATATCCTAAATAAACTCATATATATAATCTACTTATTTAGTTTTTAAAGGATTTGAGTGTCACTTGAGGATAAATAACATTTTAGGATTGGGGGATTGGATGAAAATTGGTAAAATGAGTGAAAAAGGATCAAATTTGGAGAAAAAATGAAGAAGATATGCAATAGAACTCTGGCGCCTAAGCGCCTAAAACTAGTGCTTACGTGTCATTAAAACCAAAAAGGATGCACCTAAGCACCTAGTACCTTGCGATTAAGCGCCATAAGTAGTTATTTGGCGATTCAATACGTTTGAATGAATTTTTTAAGATGTGTTTGAAGCAACTCTTGGTGAAAATGTGAGAAATAATTAATGGACACAGAAATACATTCAACTGGGTTTTTAAAGGAGGCAACTCTCGGAAGATTCATTGAATGTGAACACATTTTAAAGAGACACCATGGCACCTTCTGAAAAATTATAAAAAAAGGACTTGGATTCAATTGAAGAGGAGTCTCTGCCCCCCTCTAGACACTATCGATGCCTCTCTCTCTTACATTAATTAGGATACTTGTAGAGAGAAGAAGGAGAGGAGTTGTAGTGAGTGAGTAAAGATTATTGTAAGAGAAGGAAGAGATTCAAAGGAACTTCAAGAGTTTGGTGGAGAGGATTTGAGATAAGTTTTTATCTTTGTGGCTAAATTTGGTTTTAATTTAGACTTTTTGTTTGTTTGCATGATTTATACTTTCAAACTTAAGTGTGGTTGAGTTACTATATGAATTCTGAGTAGTTTTCTTTATCTTTTTTCTTAAAATGATAAGTGATTAAGTGTTGGATGGAAGTTGTGTGAAGTATTAATCTTTAATGTTGGAATAAGTTGTGATAATTTTAAACCATGTTTTTAATTTACTTCTTGATTTAGCGAATTAAGATGTTAACATCTATTGAGAGAACATGTAAGATCTGAGATTGTATTGTCTCAATCAACAAATGGTGAATCACATGAGATTGTATGGTTGTATGGATGAGAATGTAATTATGGATGAGAATGTAATTCATATGATTGAGTGCAAATAAATATGAGAAATAAACTTTGAAGGGTGTAGAATTAAAGGACTTTAGAGTGATATGCTAAACAAAGTGACAGGTTAAAACCCCTAATTTGATTTATAGTTTTATGTTTTGATACGAGATGTTAACTCCTCGGTGGAGAGAGAAGAAGGATATCTAGACTCAGAGCTAGATCTTCCTTACCTAACCCGTCTTAAAGACTATTCAAATTTTAAATTAACCAATGTTCATTATATCATCTATAGTAAGAATAAAGAATATTATTGCTCCTAGTTAGCAATTTGAATACTTCTACAACAGAATTCCTCTACTTGTTACTATTTCAAGATAAGGAAAAATATATTTTCTTTATATTGTCTTCATCTTACAAATATGTAGTTAAGTTAATTAGTTGTTTACTTTACTTTTAATTATAAAAAATTACAAAAAGAATCAAATTTTCATTCATTCCTATTATATCATCTATAGTTTGAGTAAGAATATTTTGCAAAGTAGAATTTGTTATCTAATTTCTTTCAAATTATTTAAAGATTGAATTTATCCTCGTGGGTTTGATATTTGAGGCTTAATAAAAAAGTTATATTACTTGATAACGATAAGTATACTTTCATAGTATCCCATATTTAAATATAATAATTACATTCTTATTTGCTTTGAAGTCAATTTTTTTGTCTAGCTTTTGCTAATGGTCAAGTTCTTGGAGTCGTTGCAATGTAAGAATTATAAGTAAAGAAAAATTAAGAATATAACCTTATACATCGTATTGACACATAAAATCAGGATCACTCATTTACATTCATTTAGTTAATTAATTGAATAACTTTGAACACATTTATAAATGCCTGATTGTTAGAGCAAGCTTGAATTTCAAATTGAGCTTTAGTTCAATTATTTAGCACACTTTACATTATGTTTTAGTCAATTTTATTCTTGCACATGAAACCAAACCTATACATGAGTGTGTTGATAGAATTTAAAGTAACTATTAATCAAGCTTCTCAACAAGTTTGTTCATGCATTTTCAATTATTCAAGCTTGCCCAAAACCTTAATCCCTAAACCCTAAGCCCTATTAAATTAAATTTATAAAGCAAGATAAGAACTTCATTGCTTAGTTATTCATTTATTTTACATGCTTTTATGCTTATTTTAGTTATTGATTTAGAAATTTATTCATTTAAAAGCTTGCTTATTTTTACAAGTTCAACAACCAACTCTTCTATAAACTTGATAAAGCTCGTTTTATAAACAAATAATTTGATCATACCATTCATTATTTTATTTGAAAAGACTCATTTGTACAACAAATAAGTAGCAAAAACTAAATTTAATTTACGCTATAAAAATTATTTGATTCAAAATGAAGTAGCTAGATAATACTTGGGAATATGCTCAATCATGACTTAATTATCATCATAAAATGATAACAAATCAAATTAAACAAATGCAAAAGCTTGATTTGAGCTCAACTCAAAGCTTGAACATGAATCGAGCGATTTGTCTGCAACCCCTATTGAACCTTTAGATCTTTTTTTAATAATTACAACATCAAAAACGAAAGTACATTTGCGTATCTATTACAATTTTTTAGTATTATGCAGCACAATCCAACTTTTCATAGGTTCTATTTGATGCCTTTAGGTTCGAATATTCCCAATACGTGTAAACTTTTTATCGCCATTGTGATATGTGATATGAGAGAAAAGCTAATGCACAAAACAATTTAAATGCACGGCCTGAATGAGGAAAGAATTGCATGGAGAAGAGCACTCAACAAAATTCACATAAAAACAAACACACGAACATCACTCAACCAGCAGCTGTTGTGCACAACACACACCGAATTCGTGATCCCCCAGATGGGGCATCCTCATCCTCATCATCATCACTATTAACAACTCGACTTTCCATATAAACTGAATCTGAGCCCCCTGTGAGACAGGTGAGGTGATATGCATGGCAACAAAAGAACACGACGACAGACACATTTTGGATTGAAAATGGATCAAAACATAAGCAACACCTTCCGCTTCCCCTAGTTCTTGATTTCAGTTCGACCGACATAGCATTTGATCCTCTTCGGCTCTCTTGGGTTGATGAGCTCTCCTCCACCTTGGCATGTTTTTCCTCTTCTGTGCTTCCCATGCACACTGCACGCTGAGCCTCTTTGTAGTACTTGATCAGAAGGTTAACACAGTCAGCCTGACAAGAGTTAAAAGCAATGAGAAACGGTCTGACGCAAATAATATGTTTGTGATATACTGAAGATAATGACACCTTGAGAATTTCATTGCATCCCTTTCTTAGAGAAGTTTCTGTTCGGTAATCGGTGATGATTTTGACCAAGCGATCTCGCAACCTACCATGTTTTTGCAGCAAATATCATGACGTTGGAAATACAACTGCTCGAAAACTTGCATATATTAAAATGCAGCAGATCATCATCTCTGTTGCCAAGTGACCGACTATAATTGCAGAACTATTCAAGATAAACTTTTTCTCCAGAAAAATAAAGCAATAATACTAAAAAAATAAATAACAGCAAAAAGCCCCTCCATGGAGAAATATTTTCAAAAGCAATAGGTTTTTATCACTCTGCTGTATTTACTTTAGTACAAGTAGACCAAGATACGGGAAGCCAAGCTTATCATATCAAGCTTTAATTTTGAAGGGAAGCCAAAAATTGGATCATCAATTTGCCATGACACAACTAGTACAGACACTAACCGAGGTACTTTTAATCCATTAGGCACCGTAGTCACGATATAAAGTGGATCCAGATTACCAACTGTATGGTCTAATAACATTCCAACCTGCGTGTATTCAAACTAAATGGTAAACATTCTAGTATACTAGACAAAAATTCTAGAATATCAAGATACCTCAAAGCCATGGTTACCTACCATTTCAGGTTTGCGTAGACATTGTCTGATTAACTCCTGCCATAATTCATCATCTTGCTGCGTAGAAACAAACTCCACAGCCTGCAGACAGGACATTAGATAGATGTGCAGCATAGAAATAAAATTTACCAGACATGAGATTATCCGTTATATACTGTTTAGCTTTCAAATCATATGGTATCATATTCTGAAGCAGGCAGGGAGATGGCGGAGACAGAAAGCAGATAATGACAGATTGCAGGGGTTTTTGTCTGGGAGGCGTGAGAGAGAAGGGAAGCGGAAAAGAAACAGTAACGTTCACAAGAACAAAAATAAATATTCGAAGTTCATGTTAAATAAGAAATTAATTCCAATACCTCCTCTATATTTTCCAATTTATCTATAATAACTGCAAGAGCCTTTTTAGCATTGCCCATCCTTCCTAAAATGAAGGCTTGTTCCCTGAGCAAACCTTTTCTGACACATGTATCATATGCCTGAGATAATAAAAAAATATTAATCAACTACTCCAAAAATAAAAACATTATTGTAATACACGAGTTCAATGTCAAACCTTGTCTAACTTATAATGTTGACTTATACGAAGAAATGTGAGCAGCATTCGTGGCTCATAGTCAGCATAAAGCTCTACCTGTTACAAATAGAAATGCCTATATTCAACAATAAAGATATAAGAAGTTGAAACAGTAAATAGTTATAAGCTAGCAATATTACAAAATGAAAGGAGGATGCTTCTAGCAATTTCATGATGACAATATTGTTTTTAAAAATATAAAGAAACTAAACTTCACCAGTATAAACACACAAAAGAAGCCTGAAACTACGAACATTCTTAAGGAATTTAATATACCAAGGTTCTTCTACAGCAAACATGCAACTTTCAAACAATTAGGTGCTTTCAGAGCTATCATTGTCAATACTAGAGTCAATTAGTACAAGGACTTCAGCTACAGAGCTAATATATAGCATGTATGATAATTAGAAAGCAGTTATCCTTAGCAGACATAGTCTGAATTCTGTTCTAACTAAAGTTTAATTTTCAAACAAAGAAGGCCAAATTTTAAGATCAAACAAACTAATTAAGCATTTAGAATGTTTCTACATGACACTATATGCATCATGTACAGCTCATCAAGTAATATGTCAGTATATATCAGCTAAAGCACAAGATTTCAAAGCAAGCCATACGCTGCGAGGTTTTTTATAAAATTTGGCCATGCTACTGTGCCAAGTAAAAACGAGGCAGCATACAAAACACTGGTGACATAATAGCAAGCTAAAGTCAAAACCATAGACTTACAAGATATGCTACTTCTGCATAATAGTAGTGTTTAACAGATAGCCTTCCTTTTTAAATCATTAAATATCCACACCAAAAAATCAAAAGAAAAAAAGCAACTACAATGTGTACTATTATTATATTGGATTGATTATATAACCAGAAGATGATTTAATGTAATTGAAGCTAAAAACTGTCTGAAACATCAATTATACCATCATTTAGGCTTGATTTAATTGACGAAAGAGAAGAGTTCCAAACAAACTTAAATGTTATTGGATCATTTGCACTGTGTTTCTCTTAAAATTTCTGTAAAGCCTTCCTAAAATAGCAATACGTATGACTCCCCTCGTGGCTGTATCTAATTTTTCTAATGAGAGTTTTTCCTGGTTTCATGGGTTCAATATAAAAAAATGTGGCAAAAAGTTCAGGAGTACATGATTAGTGATTATATATCAGCTTTATCAAATGATTATGCATGTTGTACACTACAATTATTCCAACATCCTATGCATGTTTTCCTCATGCAATCGTTTGAGAGAATTCATTAGGAACTCAATTCAATTAAATTTAAAAAGAAAAAAAAAATGAAAAAGACAACAAAACAAAACAGCAACAATATTTAGTAAACACCACAGCCAGTCAGCAAAGACTAAGCCATTTAACTTCTCGTTGCAGACCTTCCTAAAATATCTCATAAATCCTGCAGATATTTCTAAGAGAGGGCTTGAAACTTCTAAGAAAAGGCTCTTAACTTTATTTGAAATTCACACAAGAACTGCTCAATTATTTTCCGATTTAAAATCAATATAGATTTTCTTTGGTTCATGTATGTCCCCTGAAATTAGTTTGATTAAATTTGAGATAAACTTGGAATATGAATTAAAATTCATTTGTACATCTACTTTCATAGATACATATACACACATGCAAGTACACATATATATGAATTAATAAATTTATCGAGTCAATGAGCAGACAAGAATATTTTCATGCCATCTGCATAAAAAGAAAGGGATATATGACATTCTTACTCTCCATTTCAAGGAAAAAAAAATATTTGGACATTTTACTTTTACTCTCCAGGGCGCCACCTGAAAAGTCTTGTAAAATTGTAGAGGTCTCTCATCAAGTTCATCCCATGAAGTCGTAGGGAGAGACCACACATAATCCCCATTTTTCATATTGGCAACTTGGAGGAATGATTGAGATGTTCGCATATTGCTTCAATTTATTTGTGTTGAAGCAGAGCATCAATTGTTAGAATGTGGTTTATTCCTTTGAAGCGACATCACCATTTTGTTTATGTTGCTTATAAGGTGATTTTATGATTTTGATGACTTAGGCTTCATTATGGAATTCTTCCGGACTTTTACTTTCTGTTGAGGCATAAGAATCTATAAGCCACTACGGCTGTCTTTTTTACCTCTTAATAACCTTGCATAGAAAAATGAAAATGCGATTTTTATAGATATTTTGATAATAAAAAAATTAGTTTTTTAATTATTTTCTAATTGATTTGATTGTTAATGGCCGCTTCAATTTTGCATAAAATAAAAAATAAAAAAAAAATCAAGTGATTTGACCCTTAAAGGTGTGTATTGTGATGCTTTCTCTTCAAGGGTATTCCATGAAAATCATGATGATACCTTTCTTCATGGGTTTCTCTTCTCCTTCCACTTATTTCTGTCCTTTTTCTTTCCCGAAGAAGTTTATGAAATGTGAAATCGGTGCAGTAGCAAAGAACGTTCTTACTTGTGCAACGAACATCAATAAAGTAAAATTTGAGTCTCCTTCCTCATTCTCATGGTACAACATCAAACAATTGTAAATGCAGCTTGGCTACAGTGAGGATTTTGTAATTTGGATTTGGGAATGGGTAAATCTCCAATCTACAGATGAGATCTACTTTACAATGGACAATTTGGTCTTGGGCTGCAAATTACATTTCTCCCCAAGCCGCCGACAATCTTCTAATGTTATAGTTTAGTGCTTGCATAGATATTCCGAGTTCATTTCAAAACATAGCATCATTAATCTATTATTTGTAGCAATGATAGGTTGAACTGAGCATGATTCTCACAAGTTAGTGCTTGCTTAGATTATTCCGAGTTCATTTCAAAACATAGCATCATTTATCTATTATTTGTAGCAATGATAGGCTGAACTGAGCATGATTCTCACAAGTTACATGTTTAAGAATGATCTTCTTTTATATATGTACTGCGGGAGGAAAATAAAAGATGAAAAATTAACCGTTTATATTTTATCTTTATTTTTATTTTATTTTTAGTTTTTATTTTTTTTATTTTTTTTGTGTGTTGCAATCACTAGAGGGATGGGCCATCAATGATAGCCTGAGCGAGATCCAAACTTTAAGGGCAGTGATTCCCCATCTTTGCTAACAAGGCATTCAAATTTGTTGTAAATCTACAAAAAGATGACACAACAATTTGACTCATGACTATTGTTAAATTAGTTGAGGAACTTTTTCTAGCATTAGTCATCATTCACTTCTACCTTTTGCTCAGTAATCTTTTAATGCAGTAATAGAATTTCAAATACTGACAAAGAACAATGAGTTTTGTGCGTAATAACAAAAAAGCAATGAGATTTGGTGTTGAATTTCAATTTCTTGAATGTCAATGATGCAATAACTACTTATGTTAAGAGCAATCATTAAAATACTTCTAACAGTTTCATAGATGTTTATAGACATGGGTGCTAGTGATAAAAGAAAATATTTTAGCATTTATTGCAATAAACATAATATTGGAAGTGCTTTTTAATCATGATTTATTCTCAATTTCTTGATAGCCCGCACCGAGGCAACTTCATCTCCTTTCTTCCTAGTTTCTATTGATTTTTCACTTCGGGTGTATAGATTCTTTCAATTATTCTGCTTTTAGAGTTTTTAACGTAGCCCAAGAAAATGTCAACAATCCTCAATGTTGTCAACTTGGTCATTCTGAGGTGTAATATTTCTTCAAACCTTGAACATGCAGTCAAGAGTAATGTGGACGATTTATGGAAATATTCTTTACAGCTGATAGCACTCACAAACTCGCTGTGGCATACTCGCAAAAATGGCATGGGTAACTTAAAATGGCATGGGTAACTTTCCTAGCAACTACTGATGATTTGTTTCTATAAATGTGGTGTGTTTGGCAGTCCATTTTTTTAAATCGTTGTACCATCTGATCACATTAGCTAATCTTAAAGAGTTCCTAATAGTAACCGTAGTTAACCCAAATTACAATAGAGAAAGCAAATATTATTACCCAAAAAGTACATGAAGGTGACAATCAGAGATACTGAAATAGAAAATAGAAACGAACATGACAAACACTCAACGAAGGTGGATCTTGAGCAGTAGTGATGGTCAGTGAAGGCTAAAAGGGTGGCACAGGTTGGAAAAAATGGATGGCAAGCAAAAAAAAACAGCAAGGCAGTGGTTTCCCAGGGTCGGACAATAAGTAGACAGCCGGAGGAAGATGAGTGAGGGCGGTCTAGGTTGATTGCAACAAGGGGGAAAAGGGGAAACGGCGGCGGCTGCAATGAGGACGCGCTGGCCGGAGCCCAGCCAGCCGAGGGAGGTTGGGAAGGGGGCGGCAGTCGATGGGGAGGGTTGTGTGGGCTGTTGGGAGGATGGCAGCAAAGTTGGCAATGGCTGGAGGGGATAGCAGAGAGGATGGAGGACTCGAACGGCGACAGGGCATGTGGTGAGTTATCAGACTGCCAAAGGAAGGTGGTCCTAGAAAGGGGCAGCGACAAAAAGGACTAGACAATGAGGAATTTGCAGAAAACATCAAAAGAAATGCAGCCAAGGCGACCTGCAGTGATGTGGGAATGCAATGCAGCAAAGCGGGAGGGAATGCAAAGGGAATAGGGAAGATAATCACCATCTCAGGAATGCAATGCAGCAAAGCGGGAGGAAATGCAAAGGGAATAGGGAAGATAATCACCATCTCATGAGAGACGAGAGAATAACAGTCGAGTACCACCCAATCGCTTGGATATATTCATCGAAAAGAGAATAAACACCGACAGCAGTCCAAAGTAAAACACACCAAAAACAGACTTCCAAACCCTAATACAACACATACATAGAAAATGACTACAGATGAATTAAGGATAATAAAAAATAAAGCATAAAAAAGAAAATAGGATTATTTCGACCCGTCTCCCTTAATACATATTTTCACAATAATATAAAAGCTACAGTTGAATGGCATTTTTTCTTTTTTTTTCTTTTTTTTTGGTAAGGTCTCGCGTCAATTTGTCGGGGTTATGGGAGCAGCAACCTCATCCATCGAAGTTTCTATTTCCTTGTAGCATGGAGTTAAGTCTGC